AATAGATGAACTATATATGTGGTGAATGTTATGTATGAATTTGATTCATGTGATCTCTCAATTGTCTAAAAATATATATTCATATGACTAAAATTTTCTTTTGTTATTTTTAGCTCACCTTGCACAAAGTGCAGGTGAGCTTTTAGGATGGCCAACCAAATGGCGTCCGTCGTCTGTCGTCCGTCCACATTTTAAATATTCTAAGGACATCTTCTATGATACCGCAAGGCCAATGTTAATGAAACTTGGCAGGAATACTCTTTGTATGAAGCTCTATCAAGATTGTTCAAAGAATTCCATTTCATGCAGAACTCTGGTTGCCATGGCAACCGAAAGAAAAATCTTTAAATATCTTCTTTTAAAGAACCGTAAGAGCTAGAGCTTAGATATTTGGCATGAAACATCTTCTAATGAGTGTCTACCAAGTTTGTTCAAATAAAAGCCTTAGGGTCAAAATTGGCCCCGCCCCAGGGGGTCATTGATTTTCCCTATATGCATATAGTAAAAACTTAAAAAATCTTCTTTTAAAGAACCCAAAGAGCTAGAGCTAAGATATTTGGCATGAAACATCTTCTAGGGAGTGTCTACCAAGTTTGTTCAAATAAAAGCCCTGGGGTCAAAATTGGCCCCGGCCCGGGGGATCATTGATTTTCCCTATATGCATATAGTAAAAACTTAAAAAATCTTCTTTTAAAGAACTGTCAAAGCTAGAGCTTAGATATTTGGCATGAAACATCTTTTAGTGAATGTCTACCAAGTTTGTTCAAATAAAAGCCATGGGGTCAAAATTGGTCCCGCCCCAGGGGGTCATTGATTTCCCCTATATGCATATAGTAAAAACTTAAAAAATCTTCTTTTAAAGAACCATAAGAGCTAGAGCTTAGATATTTGGCATGAAACATCTTCTAGTGAATGTCTACCAAGTTTGTTCAAATAAAAGCCCTTGGGTCAAAATTGGCCCCGTCCCAGGGGGTCATAGATTTTCCCTATATGCATATAGTAAAAACTTAAAAAATCTTCTTTTAAAGAACCCAAAGAGCTAGAGCTAAGATATTTGACATGAAACATCTTCTAATGAGTGTCTACCAAGTTTGTTCAAATAAAAGCCCTGGGGTCAAAATTGGCCCCACCCCGGGGGGTCATTGATTTTCCCTATATGCATATAGTAAAAACTTAAAAAATCTTCTTTTGAAGAACTCAAAGAGCTAGAGCTAAGATATTTAGCATGAAACATGTTCTAATGGGTGTCTACCAAGTATATTCAAATAAAAGCCCTGGGGTCAAAACTGGCCCTGCCCCGGGGGTCATTGATTTTCCTTATATGTGTATAGCAAAAACTTAAAAATCTTCTTTGAAAAAACCCAAATAGCTTGAGTTTAGATATTATACATGAAACATCTTTAAGTAAATATCTACAAAGTTTGTTCAAATAAAAGCCCAGGGGTCAAAACTGGCCCTGCCCCAGGGGTGTCATTGTTTTTAACTATATGTGTATAGTAAAAACTTAAAAATCTTCTTTTAAAAAACCCAATGAGCTAGAACTTAGATGTTTAGCATGAAACATCTTCTTATAGGTGTCTACCAAGTCTGTTCAAATAAAAGCCCTTGGGTAAAAATTGGCCCGGGGGGGGGGGGGCTATATACAGGTGAGCGACCTCAGGGCCATCATGGCCCTCTTGTTTATCATTGTTATTTAACAGGTGACAGTGAGGTACAGAGAACTATGTTGGAACTTCTCAATCAGTTAGACGGATTTGAACCAAAACAAAATATAAAGGTAATATTTCAAAAGGGATTTCAACAAAAATTTATTGAAATTTTTATACAGTTGGAAATTTGCCCTTTATACTTATAATTAAATTAAAGTGACTTTTTAGCTCACCTGTCACAAAGTGACAGGGTGAGCTTTTGTGATCACTTTTCGTCTGGCGTCCGTCCGTCCATCGTCCGTCCGTCGTCCATCCGTCCGTAAACTTTTACTTTAAATGACATCTCCTCATAAACCACTGAGCCAATTTCATCCAAACTTCACAGGAATGTTCCTTTGGTGGTCACCTTTAAAAATTGTTCAAAGAATTTAATTCCATGCAGAACTCTGGTTGCCATGGCAACTGAAAGAAAAAACTTTAAATATCTTCTTTTAAAAAACCATAATAGCTAAAGCTTAGATATTTGGCATGAAACATCTTCTAGTGAGTGTCTACCAAGTTTGTTCAAATAAAAGCCCTGGGGTCAAAATTGGCCCCGTCCCAGGGGGTCATTGATTTTCCCTATATGCATATAGTAAAAACTTAAAAAATCTTCTTTTAAAGAACCCAAAGAGCTAGAGCTAAGATATTTAGCATGAAACATGTTCTAATGGGTGTCTACCAAGTTTGTTCAAATAAAAGCCCTGGGGTCAAAATTGGCCCCGCCCCGGGGGGTCATTGATTTTCCCTATATGCATATAGTAAAAACTTAAAAAATCTTCTTTTAAAGAACTCAAAGAGCTATGGCTAAGATATTGAGCATCAAACATGTTCTAATAAGTGTCTACCAAGTTTGTTCAAATAAAAGCCCTGGGGTCAAAATTGGCCCCGCCCCGGGGGGTCATTGATTTTCCCTATATGCATATAGTAAAAACTTAAAAAATCTTCTTTTAAAGAACCCAAAGAGCTAGAGCTAAGATATTTAGCATGACACATGTTCTAATGAGTGTCTACCAAGTTTGTTCAAATAAAAGCCCTGGGGTCAAAATTGGCCCCGCCCCGGGGGGTCATTGATTTTCCCTATATGCATATAGTAAAAACTTAAAAAATCTTCTTTTAAAGAACTCAAAGAGCTATGGCTAAGATATTGAGCATCAAACATGTTCTAATAAGTGTCTACCAAGTTTGTTCAAATAAAAGCCCTGGGGTCAAAATTGGCACCGCCCCGGGGGTCATTGATTTTCCTTATATGTGTATAGCAAAAACTTAAAAAATCTTCTTTGAAAAAACCCAAATAGCTAGAGTTAAGATATTAAGCATGAAACATCTTTTAGTGAGTGTCTACAAAGTTTGTTCAAATAAAAGACCTGGGGTCAAAATTTCTGCTCATTTTTTTACTTAAGAAAATTGCCAAAAATATCTTGTTATATGAAAAATCTATCAATCAATGATAGCCATTTTGGGTGATTTTAGAGAAAGTTACTATGGTATCACAGTAATCCCCAAAAATGCAATCATGGAAGGATTGAAAATCTTCAAATTAACTTGTGTTAAATTTCCAAAAGTTGACTTACTTATATATTATAAAATTGAAACTATATGAACAGATCTTATGTCAGGATAAGAGATCTTATGTCAGGATTAGGAATTATAACATATTTTAATTGACTATGTGAAAGCAAACAAGAAAAATAGTAGTCAAATATGAAGATTTTATAAAATAGTTTTTAGCTCACCTGTCACAAAGTGACAGGGTAAGCTTTTGTGATCGCTTTTCGTCCGGCGTCCGTCCGTCCGTCGTCCATAAACTTTTACTTTAAATGACATCTCTTCATAAACCACTAAGCCAATTTCATCCAAACTTCACAGGATGTTCCTTTGGTGGTCACCTTTAAAAATTGTTTAAAGAATTTAATTCCATGCAGAACTCTGGTTGCCATGGCAACCAAAAGAAAAAACTTTAAATATCTTCTTTTAAAAAACCATAAGAGCTAGAGCTTAGATATTTGGCATGAAACATCTTCTAGTGAGTCTCTACCAAGTTTGTTCAAATAAAAGCCCTGGGGTCAAAATTGGCCCCGCCCCGGGGGGTCATTGATTTTCCCTGTATGCATATAGTAAAAACTTAAAAAATCTTCTTTTAAAGAACCCAAAGAGCTGTAGCTAAGATATTTAGCATGAAACATGTTCTAATGGGTGTCTACCAAGTTTGTTCAAATAAAAGCCCTGGGGTCAAAATTTGCCCCGCCCCAGGGGGTCATTGATTTTCCCTATATGCATATAGTAAAAACTTAAAAAATCTTCTTTTAAAGAACCAAAAGAGTTAGAGCTTAAATATTTAGCATGAAACATGTTCTAATAAGTGTCTACCAAGTTTGTTCAAATAAAAGCCTCTGGGTCAAAATTGGCCCCGCCCAGGGGGTCATTGATTTTCCCTATATGCATATAGTAAAAACTTAAAAAATCTTCTTTTAAAGAACTCAAAGAGCTATGGTTAAGATATTTAGCTTGAAACATCTTCTTATGGGTGTCTACAAAGTTTGTTCAAATAAAAGACCTGGGGTCAAAATTGGTCCCGCCCCGGGGGTCATTGATTTTCTTTTTATGTGTATAGCAAAAACTTAAAATCTTCTTTGAAAAAACCCAAATAGCTAGAGTTTAGATATTAAGCATGAAACATCTTCTAGTAAATGAAAGTTTGTTCAAATAAAAGCCCTGGGGTCATAACTGGCCCGGCCCCAGGGGTGTCATTGTTTTTAACTATATGTGTATAGTAAAAACTTAAAAAAAAATCTTCTTTTAAAAAGCTCATTGAGCTAGAGCTTAGATGTTTAGCATGAAACATCTTCTTATGGGTGTCTACCAAGTTTGTGCAAATAAAAGCCCTTGGGTTAAATTGGCCCTGCAACGTTGGGGGTGGGTGTTAGGGGGGCCTATATACAGGTAGGGGGGCCTATATACAGGTGAGCGACCTCAGGGCCATCATGGCCCTCTTGTTTATTTTCATGATGATAATCATTATTTACCAAATTGAATTTATTGGCAGATGCTATGCGGTTTTGGTGTGTAAGTTTGGAAAAAAGTAACATCAACATGTGCTTCTTTTACTAGCAGTCACAGAAAATATAAATAACAGTTACTGTGATATCATAGAACCCTTGATATCATAGGAACTGAGTATACATTATAATTTAAAACCCATCAGCAGCGACACATTTTTGGTTTCCAATACACAGAGACCTGCAAACTTTTGGCCGCACAATTTATTCAACACAACCACATACTGCATACAGCCATTTCATGTTTTATATGATATACATGTATCTAACACTACAATCTGGTGACAATGCCCGGTTTGGCTTAAGACATAAAAAATCCTTTATCTCGAAAAATTAAATATATGTTTCTTTCTAACTTGTTTTCTTATACATTTGCTTATATGATGATACAAACCAAAATAATAGAAAAAAATTAGTTACTGTTCTACATCGATATATATTGAAACATCTTTTTACGACTAAGCAATATGTGAAATATGAAGACTTTGTGATTAATAGTTTTTAAGACAATGAGCAAGTATCATTTTGTCATTTCAGATACATGTGACCTTGAGCTTTGAACTAGAAAACAAATCAATGGGGGTTATTTACTTTATACAACTAACCAAAATGTGAAATATGATGACTTTGTGGTAAATAGTTTTCAACTGATAATCAGCGGAAGCCACGTGGTCTTCAGACTGACAGACTCAGACCGCCAGACATTAGCAAAAAATATACCCCCGTCATCTTCTGTTCAACATTCTTGTGTTTATTGGATACAGAAGAATGAGTAATTGTAAAAGTAAATAACTGAAAACATTTTAATCATTTTAGAATTTTAAAAATAATATTTGGACATAATAAACATAATTTTCAGAAGTTGAAAATGGTAAAATTTATAAATATTAGTTTTTGTGAATTGTGTGATAAATTGTTATCTTTTATTTAGGGTCTTAATTGAAGCAAAGAAATACAAGCTGACAAGATGGTGGACAGTAAAGAAACACTTTGTGAGAAGTTATCATCTCAATTGCATCATGAGTGTGAAGTGTGTAATAGAGCGTTTTCTACAGAAACTTATCTTATCAGTCATATGGCAATACACACTGACATGAAAAAACATAAGTGTGAAGTATGTGATAAAGTGCTTTCCACAGGAGGTAATCTTACCAGACACATGACAATACACACTGGCGAGAAGAAACATAGTTGTAAAATATGTTATAAAGCGTTTTCTACACGAGGTAATCTTGTCAGTCATATGGCAATACACACTGGTGAGAAAAATCATAACTGTCAATTCTGTGGTAAAGCATTTTCTCGACGGAGTCATCTTACCATACATATGACAATCCACACTGGCGAGAAAATACATAAGTGTGAATTCTGTGGTAAAGCATTTTCTCAACGGAGTAGTCTTATCACACATATGACAATACACACTGGTGAGAAAAATCATAAGTGTGAATTCTGTGGTAAAGCATTTTCTCAACGAAGTCATCTTACCAAACATATGACAATACACACTGGCGAGAAAAAACATAAGTGTGTAGTATGTGATAAAGCCTTTTCTACAGGAAGTAATCTTAAAAATCATATGACAATACACACTGGCGAGAAAAATCATAAGTGTGTAGTATGTGATAAAGCGTTTTCCAGTAAAAGTAGTGTTATCACACATATGGCAAAACACACTGGCAAGAAGAATCATAAATGCGAAGTGTGTGATAAAGCATTTTCCTCACGAAGTTATCTTATCATACATATGACAATACATACTGGTGAGAAGAATTATAAATGTGAAGTCTGTGATAAAGCATTTTCTACTCAAAATACTCTTATCACACATATGGCAATACACACTGGAGAGAAAAGATGTAAGTGTGACATTTGTAATAAAGTATTTTCTCATAGCAGTTCTCTTAGTAGGCATATGACAATCCACACTGGCGAGAAAAGATATAAGTGTGACATGTGTCATAAAGCGTTTCCAACAGGAAGTTATCTTATTAGGCATATGACAATACACACTGGTGAGAAGAATCATAAGTGTGAAGTATGTGATAAAGCATTTTCTGATAAAAGTTATCTTATCAGGCATATGAAAATAAACACTGGCAATAAAAAAACATACATGTAAGTGGACAGTGTGTGATAAAGGGTTTTCTACACAAAGAAGTGTTATCAGGCATATGAAAATACACACTGGCAAGTAAAAAACATGAATGTGACATGTGTGATAAAGCATTTTCTCAACATACTAATCTTATCACACATATGACAACACACACTGGTGAGAATAAATAATACTATGTCACATATAGCAAACATGCTGGTGAGTGAAAAAAACATAGATGTAAAGTGTGTCATTAAGCTTTTCCAACATGGTTCTTGAAACAAATATATGACTTTACACACTGGTGATAAAAACATTTATTTGAAGTTCACAGGTAACCAATCATTTTTTTAAAAGAAATGAAGTTAAATCACACATGTTGAATTAGCACCATATGGAGTTAAATATAGATTGTATTTACTAGTTGTTTCACCTCTTAAGCAGTTTTCTATTATGATTTTACTTTTGAACAAGATGTTTGTTTGGTTTAAGAAAGTTATTTAAACAGTTTTTCAGTTTGATTGAATAAACAATATGCCTGCCTGTTATGTTTATTTTATTATTATTATACCCCCAAAAACGAAGTTGGGGGGGGGTATATAGGAGTCACCCGGTGGTCGGTTGGTCGGTCCAGACGTCCGTTGCATTTTCCTTGTCCGGAGCATAACTTGAAGGCTAATGGTTGGAATTCAATACAACTTCATACAATCGTCAAGCACATTGAGAGGAAGTGCAGTGCACAAGAACCATAACTCTATCTTCACTAATTACAGAGTTATTGCCCTTTGTTACTTTTCCTTGTCCGGGGCATAACTTGAAAACTACTGGTTGGAGTTCAAAACAACTTCATACAATGGTCAAGCATGATAAGGGGAAGTGCAGTGCACAGACGTTTCAATCTTTGTCGCAACAGACAAACATTTCAGAATTTCGGACACATTAATAGAGAACGATTTTCAATTCTGATTTTGTACATTATCTGTGACTGTTCACATTATTTGGCGGCGTCTTTGATGTGCAGCATCAACATTTATCTTGTATTCTATTTATAAATGATATTGAACAGTGTTAGAGCAAATGTCACCAAAAGATATTAAATTGTTATCTAAATACATTTTCAATTTTATATTGTTTTTGTTTACAACAGACAGAAATAGTCTACATACTCAAATTAACTCACTTTCAAGATAGTATTGTAAGTACAGTCGGAAAATCAATGTTGCAAAAATGTGTGATGTTTTAAAAGCGAAAAACTTATAGTGTCAGAGTTATGTCCCAGAAAAGTCGAAAATGAACAAAGAGCGTTTACTCCAAAATTTTGCAAGGCTGAGTAATGTTTTTTGAACTGCACTTCTATTTAATTAGCATAAAATGCTTCAAAACCGGGAGAGACCAGACATTTATTTTTAATGCGTTTATTTAAGGTCGCCGCCGGAAAGCCCACATGGGCGACCGTACACTCAAGTCAGGCCATCCTAGAGCATCCCGCCGAGATTTTCTCGTTGATTTTTTTCCAGCTTTTATTGGTGGAGGTAGACCCAAGGGCCCCTCCGGGCATTATTTCAGGCACGAGCGGGCATCCGGGTAAGAACCACCGACCTTCTGTAAGCCAGCTGGATGGCTTTCTCACATTAAAGATTTCGACCCGAGTGAGGATCGAACCTACAGCGATGAGGGACCTGTGATCTCAAGTCAGCGACCTAAACCACTCGGCCACGGAGGCCCAAAGACCAGACAATAAACGTGTGATACTATTAAATCCCGTTCAAAATAGACCGGGATTTACCGATAGGAGAACGGAGAATAATACATCCCATATCTGTATCTGTATCTGTGTGAATACGTAGGAGGACCACTTCTGGTATATGTCCTACGGGGAGTGGAGGAACTCTAGTCGAGTTTCTGAAGGGCTGATTTGAAGCCCCCTATTGTAACTGCATGCACCACTGAATCTTCCAGATGGTTCCAATCCTCAAGTGTTTTCACAAAGAAGGAGTTTTTAAATTGATTTGTTTGTGCGTTTATGGTTTTAAATGATCTAGTGTTATTGGCTACTCTTATAATGTTTGTGGTTTCACAGTCACTGAATCTCTTTGGTTTAATTAAGCGTCCTTCGCCTTTCTGAGTCAGGTATTTATCAGGGTCCACTGCTGGCACCATACCCCCTGCTATCTTGTAGAGCATTACAAGGCGGTTGTAGGTCCTACGGTCTTGTAGTGAGTCGAGTTTCAAGCTGGTCAGCATATCTGTAACACATCCTGGTTTTCTTGACTTGTAGTCATTCATAATGAATCTTGCTCCTAGTCTTTGTATATTTTCCAGTTTATCAATATCTTTTTTCAAGAACGGGTCCCAGATGATTGAAGCGTATTCTATTTTCGAACGTACAAGGGCTATAAAGGCTGTTTTTCTACAATCTAGAGGGCAATGTTTCAAATTTCTTCTAAGAAAGCCCAAGGTTGAACTTGCTTTTTTACATATATTTGTAATATGGTTGGTCCATGTCAGATCGTTGGAGATAAGTACACCGAGATAAGGATTTGAGTCCACGTGTTTTAAGATAGTGTTATTGAGTTCATAGAAGTGTGATGTCTTGTTTTTGATGCTCAGTATATAGCATTTACCAGCGTTGAACCTCATTCCCCACTCTGACGCCCAGTTCTCAAGACATTTAAGGTCTTTTTGTAAAGTTATGTGATCTTTGTGGTTTTTAATTTCTCTATAGAGGAGGCAATCGTCTGCGAACAGCCTGACTTGTGATTTAACACTTAATGGTAAGTCATTTATATGACAAAGGAACATCAGTGGGCCTAGTACGGTACCTTGGGGCACGCCCGATTCAACATGGGTGCTCTTGGAATGTTCTCCCTCGACTACTATATTCATTGTTCTCTCTTTCAAGAAGGACGACAGCCAGGTTAGTAGTTCTCCTTTTATTCCATAGTTCTCTATTTTCCAAAGCAGACGATCGTGGGGGACGGTATCGAACGCCTTGGAGAAGTCCAGAATGGCGACGTCTACTTGCTGTTTTCTTTCGAAAGATGAAAGTAGGTCATGCATAGTTACTAGTAGTTGTGTTTCTGTTGAAAAACCGGAGCGAAAACCGTGGTTAAGTGACGTTAATATACGATGTTTTTCCAGGTGTTTAAGTAAGTGGCTGCATATGATGTGTTTCTAAGATCTTACTTTTCCTTTTCTTCTTTAGGGAGCAATCCCAATGTTGTCCTGGAACTGATGTTAGACTCACTGGTCGATAGTTTTCAGCTGAGTGTCTGTCGCCTTTTTGTTGATTTTGGTTCTTTGGGGAAACCGTTTTTTGGGGATTGGTTAACATTCTTTTCAAAAAATAAGAAAAGGGGAATTTTTTAACTGGTTTTTTGGGAAAATTTGTTTAACAAGGTTTTCTTCATTTTTGGTTGTGTTTTTTCCGGGGTATAAAGAACATTTTTCGGGGAAAAAATTTTCCTCGGGCAAGTTCCGGGAGTCATTTTTTTTTTGGTTTCCCAGGTTAGCTTTATTATTTTTTTTAAAATTTTCCTAAGGTTTTCTTTTTTTTTATAGTGGGTTTGATTTCCAGTTTTTCCGAAATGGAACCTACCATTTTTTTCAAGGGTTGGTTGATATGCCAGGGCGGTTGGGGAGGATGCTTTTCCAAAGGCAAAGGGTTAAAATTTTGGGGGTAAAAAATCGGTTTCTTAAATTTGGGGGGGTTTTTCCCCCTTGGTCCCCTTTTTTTGGGGTTTTTTTCCTCTTGGTGGATTGTGTGACGGGATGTTTCTGTTCTGATGTTATATCAATTTTCAATTGCTGTACAGTTTCTGGTCTTTGCGGCACTTTTGGGTTTAATTTAACACTTTCAGGGCCTTATACCCATTTCATAAAATCTTTGGGAAGTTAATTTCAAAACACTTTTTAGTATAATTTTTTTTTCTTTTTGGTTTACCCCTTTCATTTTATTTACAAAAGTTCGAAAGTGGGAATTTTTTCAGGGTTTTTTAATTAATTGTCTTAATGTTCCCTTTTTTAGGCATATAGAAAAAGGTTGCTAACGTATATAGTTTTTAAAAAATTTTACACATATTTGGCCACTGAAAGTTCACAATCCGTCACAAATTTTCCAAACAACATTTCTGTGGAAGAATAAGTCAGTATGTATGGCTTAAAAAAAACAACCACCTCCTTTAGTTTTCCTCTGTCATTTCTATAGAATAACGTAGTTTTCAGGGAATATTTCTGATTGATTTTAATTGGCATTTTAGTGTTTGGGTTTTTGCCTTGGTTTTACTCCGATGGAGCCAAGACTCTTGTCCCCACAGATTACATCTGGTTTTATATTTAGTTCCCACAGCAGCTTTAAATTTTTTCCGAGGTTTTATCACGAATACTGTCCTGCAATTAACGTTAAAGGATGACGAAGGTTCTGTTTCTTTGGTACATTATATGGGTCCTCATGTAGAGTTGATTTTTTTAGACCGTGGTTTTGTTAACGAGCTTATGGGTTATACTGTTACTTGGTGTTTGGGGGCTAGCCTTAGGACTGCTGGTGTGGAGAGGGGAGAAAGAACTTCATTGTTTACTGCATGTTCAAGAGTACAATCTAGCATTGAGATTGGCTCAAAATTATTGGCATAAACTGTAGTTCATAACTGTGGGAAAATAAACTATCACAACTTTTAAAACTTGTCACATTTACAACATTTCCATAACTACGCATAGCGGTCTGTCTAGGTTTTTTTCACGGTTTCACCATCACATAGATAGACAGGACTGAATGGTACCAGAATATCACAATTCAAAACATTTCATACTCCTTTTGCTGGGGTCCCATGTTGACCGGCATGGTTCACCACAATGCACATGGCCATTGTTAACTTTTATCACCTGGGCCAGGTTCTGTTCAATTCGCCAGCCAAGTAACAGAAGATAAAAAAGACAGATAAAGTCTTCCCCTCGGGTCTAGGAAGGGCCTATTTTCTATGGTGGAAAAAACCTTCATTGTGTTTTTTTTAAGACACATTTGACACATCCCATGTTTGATATAATGTTTTGGGGTCTGTTGTTGGCTGTAAGTTAATGGTTTTCTCAAGAAATGCCAACAGTAAAAGGGAAACGAAAAACTGGCGATAGAGTCGGCGCCTCGTGTAGCGTTGTGGGCAGATGGGTGGGGTTATGGTGCACAGCCTCGTGGGTTTTAAACTCGTTCACAGGTGATACCTGACTTACGTGAGCACAAAACACATGTTTCTTAATATTAAAAAGGGATATTTAGCAAAGTAATTGGTTTGTAATTTTAAAAAGTCACTTGTAGCCAAGGAAATTAATTAAATTAAGAGGGTTTTTTTATTCCCCTCGTGAAAAACACGACTGTTCTTCGCGCGCCCCATGCGCACGTAACCCACTCCAATAGTTTAACTTCCCCTTTGTGTAAATATGTGATCCTCATTTGCACTGCAAGTTTTAAAAACCCTTGTTTCACTAGATTATTCAGGTACAAAGGTTTAATACTAAATAGTTATAGATTTAGTTTCAATTACATTTTTTTATACGTCCATGAGTTGTCTAGTAATATTGTTACCCAGTGTCAATCAACCCTTAAATGTATTTCTTACGGTAAAGTATAACGATTTTTTTTTTAAACACTAGTTTTTTTTACATGGTTACTATTTATCATTGTTTTTTTTTTACTCTCTCTCCTGACTGTGGAGTGTAAGGCTTTTATCTTATAAAGATATCAGGTAAGTAAGTAATTATTTTCGTAGTCCTCAAATTATTAACCTATTATTTACTTTGGCTCAATTCTATAGATAATGTGAATAAGGCACCACCTTCAAAGCTCTTATAGTAATTATTGTTAGACAGTAAGACTAGCCCGGGGTCTATGATATCACGGGTACTGATACTTAAACGTTTTTCGGAAAAACATTTTTTAAAATAGTCAGAATTGGAGAAATTTTTCTCTTGATATAACATCAAATATAAACCACAGGAACTTGAAAATTCTTATCAAATAACGATATTAATGTAATATCCCAAATATACCCCCTATATACTATAAATAAACACGTGGTTTATTTTATAGATTGTATATAGGGGGGTATATTTGGATATTTACCATTAATATTTGGTTATTTGATAGAATTTCAAAGGTCTGTTGTATAAACCAAATATTGCATGAGCATTGGGAGCAGTTACCTTCTCAATTTAGCCTGACAAAGCTGCTGCCAAACTGGTAGGAGTTTTCCATAGACCTGAACCAGGATTAGGTAAGGGCCTATACACAATCCCAGGCTTTGGTAACTGCAAGAGCTGAAAAATTATGTAACAAGTTAAAGGAATTATTAAGAGTCATTCATGGTGTATGTCTGATATCTAAAAAGAAAGAAAATAATGTCCAAATTAATGGTTTGAATTTTCTGATTTACATCTATAGGAGAAGCCAAATATTGTGGTGCTTAAAAATTCTTGCCTGACAATAGCAGTTTTAGACATTATAAACTGAACCTAATTTAACTGTTTGTATATTAGCAGCTTCAACAATAAACAACAACAACAATTCACATCGACTGTGTTAAATTCTAATGAGTCAATTATTTTATAAACTTCACAGTTAAATGACTAGAAAATTTCTGTTATGTGTTATTTAAAGCCAAAAACCCTAGCTGCCAAGCACAAAAAGTTCAAGTTTCAAACCACACAAAAATGCCTATTTATTTCCAAAAATTGTAATTATATATTTACCCTGTTCAGCTGTCGTTCTGGCTTTCATTGAAATAAAAGTCATTTAGTGAATATTTACTATTGATTATTGCAGCATTAATCCCTTTGCTGAAAATCATTGCTTATAAATGTGTGGTCCATATTGAGGCAAATAGGGTACAATGGTGCTTTGTTCGTTTTCCCAGGCCCGGTGCTTGTTGACCCCTTAAGATCTCTGGAAAAAGAGCTTGCTAATCACTTATTTTTACCCAAGTAAACCAGTCTGAAAAAACACTCCCCCAAACACCCTTGTAATTGCAATGGTTTCATTAATGAATTATCTTTTCCTTAGCATATATTGGCCCTGTGTCCGGTAACGCAGTAATTATGAAAAATGAAAAGCCCGATATATTAAACTTTTGTAAACATTCTTTGTGGAGTTAAGGTGTCAGTAAATGATGGATTGGATACTATAAAGTTATAAATGTTTAAAGATAAAAAAGAAGTTGGTTTTAAGGACTATTTAAGAAGTTATAAAATGTTTTAAGTAAAAATAATAAAGAGTTTTTAAATCAGAATAAGAACTTATTAATGTTTAAAGTAATAACTATAAGAAGTGGCATGTTTCTGAATAAATGTATAAAGTTACATTATATTATTATCTTTTATTTAGGGTCTTACTTCTAAGCAAAGAAATAACAAGCTTGACAAGATGGTGGACAGTAAAGACACACTTTGTGAGAAGTTGATCTCCTCAATTGCAATTCATGAGTGTGAAGTGTGTTATAAAAGCGATTTTCTACAGAAACTTATCTTATCCAATCAATAATGGCCCAATACCCACACTGGCATGAAAAAACATAAGTTTTGAAGTATAGTGTGGATAAAGGCGCCCTTTCCCTAACACGACATAGTCTTATCAAGAACCATATTGACAATACACACTGGTTTAATAAAAGGTCATAAGTTGTGAGTATGTTGCATAACAAGAGTTTTCTACCAGGAAGTAGTCTTTATCGTACATATGACAATACATTAACTGGTGAGAAGAAACAAAGGTGTATGTTAAAAAGGGTTGATAAAGTGTTTTCTACACGAGGTAATCCCTTATCACACATATGGCAATTTACATACTGGTGAGAAGAAATATAAATTGTGAAGTGTGTGATAAATCATTTTCTCAAACGGAGTAGTCTTTATCAAACATATGACAATACACACTGGTGAGAAGAATTATAAATTTGAAGTGTGTGATAAAGCATTTTCTCAACAGAGTGGTCTTATCATACATATGACAACACACACTGGCGAGAAGAATTATATATGTGAAGTGTGTGATAAAGTGTTTTCTACAGGAAGTAGTCTTATTAGACATATGACAATACACACTGGTGAGAAGAATCATAAGTGTGAACTGTGTAACAAAGCGTTTTCTACACGAAGAAAACTTTTGATACATGTGACAACACATACTGGCGAAAAGAATCATAAATGTGAAGTGTGTGATAAGGCATTTTCTGCAAGAAGTAATCTTATAAGACATATGACAATACACACTGGCAAGACAAATCATAAGTGTGAAGTGTGTGATAAAATGTTTTTATGGCAAAGTTCTTTACAGACACATATAAGCATACACAATAGTGAGAATAAATTAATAAATGATGCTGTGACACATATGTAAAAACATGCTGGCAAGAGGAAAACATAGATTATCATGTGATGTTTGTGATTAAGCTTTTATAAACCAGGTTCTTTAAACAAACATATGACATTTCACTGGTGATAAAAACATGTATTCGAAGTGGTAACTTATCATTTTTTAAATCACACATGTGTTGAATAAGCATATTTGTAATGATTGATCACACTTTTTAAGCAGGGATTTCTATTAATATGATTTACTTTTTGTTTGATTGAAAGAATAAGATGTTTGTTTGGTTTTATCAGTTTGAACAAGTAAAAATTTTTTTTATCTTTTTATATTATTTTTCATTCTTTTTTATGTTCAATATAGTAAGAACTTGTGTTTCTATTTAACATATTTGTTGGTGTCATAAACTACTAAGCCAGTTTCATCAAAACTTTACAGGAATGTTCCTTTGGTAGTCAACTTTAAAAATTGTTCAAAGAATTTAATTCCAAGCAGAACTCTGGTTGCTGTGGCAACCGAAAGAAAGAATTGAAAATATCTTCTTTTAGAAAACCGAAAGAGCTAAAGCTTAAATATTTGGCATGAAACACCATCTAGTCAGTGTCTACTAAGTTTGTTCAAATAAAACCCTGGATAAAAATTGACCCCGCCCCAGGGGGTCATTCACTGACTCATTGTTTTTCCTTTTATGTATATAGTAAAAACTTTTAAAAATCTTCTTTTAAAAACCCCAAAGAGCTAGAGCTAAGATATTTAGCATGAAACAATTTCTAATGGGTGTCAACTAAGTTTGTTCAAATAAGGGCCATTGGGTTAAAATTGGCCCCGCCCCAGGGGTCATCGATTTTCCTATTATGTGTATAGTATAAACTTTAAAAATCTTCTTTTAAAAACCCCAGAGTTAGAGCTTAGATATTTAGCATTAAACATCTTCTAATGGGTGTCTACCAAGTTTGTTCAAGTAAAGGCCCTTTGGTAAAAATTAGCCCCGCCCCAAGGGGGTTATTGATTTTCCTTATAAGCTTATACTAGTGTATAGTAAAAACTTAAAAAATCGTCTGCTAAAAAAGTTTAGATACTAAGCATGAAATATCTTCTAGTGAGTGACTACCATGTTTGTTCAAATAAAAGCCTACGGATCAAAATTGGCCCCCAGGGGGCCATTGATTTCCTTATATGTATATGGTTAAAACTTTAAAAAAATCTTCTTATAAAAACCCCAAAGAGGTAGAGCTTAGATATTTGTCATGAGACATCTTCTAATGGGTGTCTTCCAAGTATGTTCAAATAAAAACCACTGGTTTAAAATTGGCTTTGGCCCAGGGGCCTATATACAGGTGAGCGATTTCAGGGCCATCATGGCCCTCTTGTTGAATTACTACTGTAGGCATAAATGTCTACCACATCAAGACGATGTGTTGCATTCAAGAATTACGTACCTACCTTAAAGGTCAAGGTCACACTAACATTTTTTAAGTTTCAAAATTATCGTAATTAAGTATTAATAAGTACACACATTATAACTATGTCATGCATTGAAGGATTTTAAAATAACTAGGCATACATGTCTACCACATTAAGATGACCTGTTACGTTGAAGACCCATGTCCCTACCTCAAAGGTCAAGGTCATATTAACATTTTGAAGTTTCAAATAATCGCAGTTAATAGGTGCACACAGTCGTGTCCGGATGGTAACTTTGTCAAGCATTGAAGGATTTAAGAATAGCTTGGCATAAATGTCTACCACATTAAGATGATGTGTTGCGTCCAAGAATAATATCCCAACCTCAAAGGTCAATGTCGTAATAATATAGGTACACATAGCATTGAAGGGTTTTGGAATAACTCCACATAAATGTCTACCACATCAAGACGATGTGTCGCGTTGAAGGAACAGTTCCTACGTCAAAGGTAAAGGTAACATGAACATTTTTAAGTTTCACGTTATCACAAGAGTTATTAGGTACACATATTCGTGTCCAGACTGTAACTTTTTCCTACATTGAAGGATTTTTGAATAACTTTGTCTACAACATCAAGACTGTGTCGTGTTCAAGAATCACGTCCCTATCTGAAGGTCAAGGTTACATTTATAGTTTGAAGATACTCATTCTCTCCAGAAGAGTTTGAAGAAACACATTCATGTCCTGACTGTAACTTTGTTATGCATGGAAGGATTTTGAAATAATTTGGCACAAATTATAGGTACACACGTTCGTGTCCGGACTATAACTTTGTCATGCATTGAAGAGTTTTAAAATAACTTGGAACAAATGATTACCACATCAAGATGACGTGTGTAAGACCAATGTTCCTACCTCCAAACTCAAGGTCACTAATAGTCTGCAGGTACTTATGCCCATAAGAAGAGTTTGAAGTCACACATTAGTTTCCAAACTGTAACATTGTCATGCATAGGAGGATTTCAAATAACTTGGCATTATGATGATGTGTCGCATCCAAGACCCTTGTCCCAAGGTGTAAAGTTTGCTATAAATAGCACTTCATTTCACAAGAACGATATTAAGAAATAAGTAACTTTCATTCTCTTTTCTTTTCATAATACATGTACTTTCAATTGCTTAAGAAACTTTTTCGGGAGCATTCGTCACTTGCATGACAGCTCAAATTGTTCTTTAATGAAATGTATTTTGTTCGATTAGACGAACAAGACGTTTCTTATATTTTTGGTTCAGATGAAGACAACAAATTTGAAATGAATTTTTGTTCAGAGTTTTTGTAAGATGGAGGGAAAAAGATTTTGGTATATTTTTTATTCGAAGGAAGAGAACATTTTCAGTGACATCTCTTCATAAGCCGCTAGGCCAATTTCATTCAAATTTAAAAGGAACGTTCTTTTGGTTTCTTTAAAAAATGTTCAAAGAATTTTAAGTCCATGAAAATCTTTGGTTAACATGGCAACCAGAAGAAAAAAAAACACTTAAAAATCTTCTTTTAAAGAATTAAAGCTTACATATTTGGCATGGAACTTCTTCTAGTGAGTGTCTACCAAGTGTGTTCAAATAAAAGACCTGAGGTATAAATTTGCTAGGTCCCCGGGAGGGGGGAATTGTTTTTCCTTATATGTATATTGTAAAAAACTTTAAAAAGTTCTTTAAATTAAAAAAATTTAGACAGATTGTGCTTTGATAATTAGCATGAACTTCTTCTAGTGTGTGTCTACCAAGTTTGTTCAAATAAAAGCCCTCGGTCAAAATTTGTCCGTACTCGGGGCTATCATTGATGTTCTTTATACGTGTATAGTAAATACTTTCAAAATCTTAGCATACTTACAACATGCCATGTGTAAAGAAGTTCTTCAGAATAGTTTTATTTTTGCATTTATGTCTACATGTATATGAAATCTCCAAAACACATATATATCCTAAAAAATGTTCTTTCTGATGACCTTTATTTTTGACCCACAAGAAACTACCACATAATTTACCTAAGCGCCCTCATCATCATAAAATACACGTAGATGTGAATGTCTATTATGCGAAGAAATAATGCCCAATACATATTCCTATCTTCACAAGAACAATGTACGGTAGGTGCTGTAAATTCAGCGTTTACATTTCAAAGAAAACTTGAGACATAAAACTAAAGTTCACGAGCAATATACACAGAAACGACATTTAGTGTACTCGTTCGGTTTTATAATGTCAAAATGAATTCGTATAAATTTTATTATAAAAATATCTTTTGAACTAAAATACACTCAGAACCAACATGATATGACCAATTGTTATGCTAAGAATGAGCGTATTGCGTTTCATAAAGATTTACACACCTAATATTTTGAATAATAAAACGTGCCGTAACTTTATTAGCACAAGAAGCACATCAACAATAACAATTAATAGTTGTTATAAGTATGTTCGGTCTATGTTGTAAACTTTTAAATATAATAAAGTTTATATATACATCTGTACTAACTTGTCTAATACTTAATACAAAATTGCATGCTGATTTTTTTCGATGTTACCATTGGCTTAAAACAAGGAGAACCAAATTATCACCCTTAATTGCTTTTTATTAGGTCACCAGAGCCAAAATATTAGTATCAAAGGGGAATGCTCCGGCGTCCATCGTCCGTCGTCAGGCGTCAACAATCGTCTTCTCTGAAACTACTAAGCAGATTTACTTCAAATTTGGTCTGTAGCATCCTTGAGACAGTCACACTTGAATTTGCCCATATGTCATTCCAATTTGCCCCTTTTAGGGGTCAGCAGAGCTAAATATATAAGAACCTTAAACATCTTCTATAGAACTAATGAAACTTTGTCTGTAGCATTTTTGAGTAGTCTTTTATCAAGTTTGCTCATATTAATTTGATTGGCCACTTTTTTTTATATGTATACAGAGATAATTGATGGATGATCTTTGTCGGTAGCATTCTCGGGTGGTGTTTTATCAAATTTGCTCATATTGATTTGATTGGCTTCTTTTAGGGGCCACAAAAGCTAAAAATAGAAATACCTTTAAATTTCTATTTTTAGAGAACTAATTGATAGATGATCACCAAACGTTGTCTGTAGCATTCTTGGGTAGTCTTTTATCAAGTTTGCTGATATGAAGTTAACTGGCCCCTTTAAGGGGCCATTTAAGCTAAAATAGAAATAATTTTAAATGTTAATTTCTATAGAACTAATGGATGGATGATCACCAAACTTTGTCTGTAGCATTATTGGGAAGTCTTTTATCAAGTTTGCTCATATTATTTTGATCGGCCCCTTAAAGGGGCTGCTAAAATTAAAAAAAAGATATACATTAAACATCTACTGCTACAGAACTAATTGATTGATGATTACCAAACTTTGTCTGTAGCATTCTTAGGAAGTCTTTTATCAAGTTTGCTCATATGAATTTGATAAGCCCCTTGTAGGGGCCGCTTATGCTAAAAATAGAAAATAAAACACTTTAAACATCTTCTACTACAGAACTAATTAATGGATGATCACCAAACTTTGTCTGTCGCATTTTTGAGTAATCTTTTATCAAATTTGCTCATATTAATTTGATTAGCCTCAATTAAGCTAAAGCTTAAATGGCCAAGGTCATGGTATTTCTTCAAATTATTGTTTAAACATATTCTATGCTCAAATTAAATATTAGAATATATTGACATTCCAACACTAAAAAGCAGTTGTTTCTGGTGAGCGACTCAGGCCCATCATGACCCTCTTGTTCTATTTATAAATGATATTGAACAGTGTTAGAGTAAATGTCACCACAAGATATTAAATTGTTATATAAATACATTTTGCTATTTTATATTGCTTTTGCTTACAACGGATATAAATAGTTTATATACT